AAACCCCTAAACCTCACCCTAAACCCTAAACACGAACCCCGACCAGCTACCACCCTGAAGGCTAAACCCCCGAGCACCTAAAGCTTAAAACTAAACCCCCCAGCACTCGAAACCCTTAACCCTTACTATAAAGGCCTGAATAATTACGAGTAAATACCTTTTCTATCTTGGGGTTCCTGAATATAATTCTGTTACAATCTACCCCAAAACCCTGTTCTAATTATTAAGGCCGCTACATTAAGCCGTCGCTCGCTCGAGGTCGTTGTTTGCCCCTACTTCTACCAGATCGAGTCTGGCGAGTCTGCCTTCGAGATGGCCGAGGTTTGTGTTGATATTTTGGTGGGTGCTTGAATTCAATCTAGTTGATATATATATATATATGTATGTATGTATGTATGTATCATATACATACATATATGTATATACATACATGTATGTACGTGTAGATGCGTAAACACATGTGCATGCATTTTGGAGACCGGGTCTTGAGGGGTGACGCATAGGGTTCGCATGGGTCTTGTGTTTTAAGGTTTTGGGGTCGGCCTTGCTGAGATGAGGGTGTACCGCTTTGATCGCAGCTGTTGCGGTTTCAGAACTTCTTGAATCTAAGGCGTTTGGGGGTTTAAGGGAGCTTTCGGTTGCGACTTTTAAACAGTTTTCAGGTGGCTTTAGGAAGGGGTTCAGCGCTCGTGCGTTTCGGGATCTATTCTGACAGAGCAAGATCGCCGGAGCTTAAAACGCTGGCTCTTCTTCACAAATAGGGTGAAGCGAGGTTTCTCTGTCATTGGTTTAGAATGTCACAGCCCTGATCCCGAAACCCGAAAGAGTGTTGATGCAGTTTGGGTTTGGGTTGCGAGGTGTACGGCATGGCGCTGCTGCGAGATGTGCCTTTCGCCGAGTACAGCACGTGCTCCGGACTGGTTTTGACGTCCATGCGGTTTGGTACCCTAAACCCTAAACCCTAAACCCTATAAACCCTAAGTCTGCATAGAGTTTGAATGGTTTCCTTGTTCCCGGGTCCCAACTACACATCCGGTTCTCCAAACTGACTCTCGACGAGGGTGCTGGCACGCACTACTCATACTATACTATACTATACTATACTATACTAATATTACGTAGCACTAGTATACCAAGAATACTAATCACCGGGCAATTGCAAACCGGTGCAGTGCTGAAAGCATCCGGTAGTTCAACCGATGATAGGAGACTCCGAGGAATCCAACAGTCCAGATGGTCCTCAGAAATCTGAACAAGTTCCCTTCGAAGACCAGCGCGCCGACGGTTTCCGGAAGCATCACGGCCCAGACGCTCTTCCGCGGGTCAGGGCCAGGTGCCTCGGGAGTTGTGCTCAGCAGTCCGTTGAACTCGGGTGCGAGGGTCGTAAACTCTAAGCCCGTATCCCTCACGAATCCTAGACCTTCAAACCCTAAAGAAAATTATTCCCCCATAAAGCCTAAACTGTGGCGTAAGCCTCAGACTGAAGGTGAAGATGTCGGCCCCTACATCTCTCAGTTCCTGTACAAGTCCTACAACTATGGGGCCATGCCCATAGAACAAATGTACAACGAGAATCTCGATCCGACCAACATGCTTGACATGAATGGTTGGCTCGCAGTGCAGAACGGAGAGGACCGCGGTAAACGCCCAAAGCCCTCTGAGATTGAGCCCAGTTGTTTGAATGCCGGCACTTGCTTGTTTCTACAGATAGAATACATATGCTTGCATATACATACATACCAACATGACCCAGAACTTGTAAAGCTCTGTCAGCATAATTTTCTTGGAGCCCGGCACCAGAAACAGGACCCCGGGAGCGTTGTCACCAAAAGGAGGGCCTACACAGCGAGTGGTCGAGTGCTGGGGTCCATCGTGCACAGCGACCCTGCCTTTCAGTGTTACTATGCAGCTGCGTTGATCGCCCTCCAACAAGGTGTTGAGACGGAGGGCTACACAACAAACCAGATCTCCACAGCGTGGATGACCACAGGCCCACCCGATCTCTTCACGTCCGTTGCGCATGTTGCGGCCGGTGCGCTGCGCACAGCCTGGCTGCAGAAATGGGGCATCACCATGCGTATCCGACCGGAAGTCTTCGCCCAGCGGTACGAGCTGGCACGCAAGCGTGCCGACCTCCTTGACAAGCGGACTGGGGTTCCAGGGCTGGCAGAGCTGAAAGCACACGTCGAAACAGCTTCTGAGCTCCTGGAGGCTGTGCTGGCGGACAATAAAGCACGCGTCGGCGAGGAGACTGCGCTGCTCGCCGTCCAATACCCCGAAGGTTCACCCACGCATCCGTCCCTTCCGGCCGGCCATGCCGTCATAGCTGGGGCTTGCGTGACTGTACTGAAGGCCATGCTCAAGACCTTCGACGACGATGCAGCCACCATTGAGACTAAGTGGGTCGATAGCGGTCGGACCGCAGTGCACGCTATCGACGGCACGGCGCTTCTTGACTACACGGCGGCCGATGCCCGTGAGATGACAGTCAACGGTGAATCCCAAGCAAGCATTGAGCAACCCTGTGAACTTTTCCCACCATGAAGTGAGGCGTTTATCGTTGCTCATCAGTTTGCCTGCCGATGTGTCGCTTTTGTAGTATTGTCAAACCTGCATACAATATGCACTTGAGGAAGAGCCCCCTGGTTACACAGAATCAGCCGGTCCTTGGTTTAGGGTTGTAGGATGATTTGGCAGCCCGGGTAGACCACGCCCGTTCTGATTGTACCTGATGAAACTCTAAAACCTATAAGCATAAAGCATCCTACACCCTTAAACTTCCGTTGAAACTCTCAGGGCCCAAGCTTGAAGGAGTAGGCGATCGGTTGACGAAGCCGGCAGGGGCCTTGCTTTAACCAAAACTGAGCAGAGGCATGGTCACTTCCAAAACATAAAACCCTGAATGCAAGGAGCTGAACAAGCTGGCCTCCAATGTCGCCTTGGGCCGGGATTTCGCAGGTGTCCACTACCGAGCCGATGGAGACGGCGGCTTGCGGGTGGGCGAGGACAGTAGGGCTTAAAGCTTAAGGCTCAGGGTGTTGTGGGTTTTGGGGCTCAACGTTCATGGTTTTGGAGGGCTTTGATTTTGGGCATAGGATCAAGGGTTATCTTCTTGATGGAGAGAAGGTAACTGCTAAGCTTTTAAGATTGATTGACTCCTCGTGCTCGGCAACCAAACCCTAGGTGCAAAACCAAGTGTGGGACATGACCCATGTCATCCCGAAACATGACAGGTCAAACAATGGCTCCTTACATGCAGCTGAAAGCCTGAACCCCTGTCGAACGAGCCATCGTCACACGTATCGTGTGAGGAATGAAGGGCATGTCATCTTCTCTACTCGAAGACAATTAGGCTCTATTTTGCTCGGGCTGAAGGCAGCGGGACTCTGATGAGGATAGGGCTAGGGCCAGTGACTAGGGCCCTTCATGAGCCTTTCGGGTAAAAGGGTGACTATAGGCGAAGTCCAGGGAAACTCCTCAGCTTCATGCGGCTTTTGGGCACCAGCCGTGAGGATTATGCCATCTCCTACTTGGCGGAGAAGATACACACATACAGGGAGGCCAGCGGCTCCGAAATTGTTGGAAACACGTTTATTCTGGACCCTAGGAGTGTCCACATTTGAGCTACCAGCACTGACGGATTTTCTGCAGGGTCGCTGTACAGAAAAATGTGCTTTTTTTTCAAGGGCGGCAAAGACTAAGACCCAGGCAAGAAGTACGACCTATTTCAGGGATGGGTCCTCAAGAAGTTCGACGGCTCCGTCGTTGCGATCACACGCAAGGGCGTTCGACCACTTGGGCACCGGCGGCATCGGCGAGGCGTCTCGGGGAGGACCCGTCACCTCTAAAGGATTCCGTTAAGGGTTCCAAATTCGGGCTTTGAGGGTTCTAGAACTCCGAAGAGGGGGTTTAAGGGTTTGGGGTTGAGGG